GTTTTAGTGGGGAGACAGGGCTTCTCTGTGTAGCCCTGGATGTCCTGGAACTCTCTTTGTAGACTAGGCTCGCCTTGCTTAAAGATCCACCTGCCTCTGCTTCCCAAGTGCTGGGATTAAAGGTGGTGATACCACACTTGACTATAATTATTACTTTGATTTTGTTTTTACTTTTTGGGACAGAGTTCCTCTGTGTAGCCTTGGCTGTCCAAACTTCTTTTTACATGTTTAGCCATAGAATTAATGCTAGGCAATAGCTGGGTATGCATCTACCACCTTTAATCCCAGCACTCAGGAGGCAGAGGCAGACGGATCTCTGTGAGTTGATGGCCAGTTGATGGCACTCCACAGAGTGCGTTCCAGGACAGGTTCCAAAGCTACAGAGACCTGGTCTAAGCAATACAGGTGGGTGTGGTAGTGCAGGCTGTGGTCTCAGCACTGGGAGGTAGAAGCAAAAGCATCAGGGTTTAAGGGAAGACTCTATCCCAAACAAAAAAACAGAGATGTGGGGAGTGGTACGGAGAGAACAATGTATAATGCCCATGTTGGGACAGAGACTGTATGATAGGAGAATTTGGAAGGAGCTGGGGAAGGCCTGTGAAAAGTAGGCTGTCATCACTCAGTGGTTGCCTCTTAAGTAGTAACTGAAAATAAGAGAGCACATTTCAGATTGCACCCTGAGGGAAAAAGGAAAGACTATAGAAAAGAACAAGATATCAGCTAACACTGATGTGCCTTGTGAGGGACAGATAAGCATTCATGAGGAGAAGAGATGTTCTTCACGGGTGCTAAACAAAGTGCTAGCATTATCAACCATGAGAACCAAATCGCCAACTTTAAAATGTTGTTTCCTGGGATGGAGAGATGACCCAGTAGTTCAGTTCCCAGCACCCCATCAGGTGGCTCACAGCTATCCAATGCGGGTACTGGCAACTGAACTTGCATCCTCCTGGAAGAACAGCAAGTACTCTTAACCATTGAGCCACTTCTCTAGCCCTGTGCTGGTTGATCTTACTCATAAATGATAAAAGAAACATCTCTGTATCCCATTCTGTTTTAAAATGAATTTAAAACATGTATATATACTCCTTTCTCTCTCTCTCTCTCTCTCTCTCTCTCTCTCTCTCTCTCTCTCTCTCTCTCTCTCTCTCTCTCTCTGTGTGTGTGTGTGTGTGTGTGTGTGTGCGCGCATGCATGCATTCAGATATATGTATCTTTGTACTTAAACCAATGGTTAGATACGTTAAAAAAATGTACCTAACATGAAAGTATAAACAAGGATAGATACAGTTTTGAAGCCATGTAAATATTTTATGTAACTTAAAACAATACTGAATATCAAAGGGCAGTCCCTAAAGCCAAGTTACATATAAAGTATAAAGAAGTTCCTGTGTAGTTCTGAAGGGGACAGTGTTTCTCAGACATTCTTACAAGTAGCTCTGAGCACAGTGATTGGCTGGTGTAGAGATGCATGTCTGCATGCCCAGCACTCAGGATGCAGAAGCAGGAAGATTGTGAGGTCCAGGCCAGCCTAAGCTATATAGTACATCCTTGTCTTAGACAAACAGTGATCAGGCCAGCCTGGGTTATATAGTAAGGCCTTGTCTTAGACAAACAAACTTGACAGTACATTTATAGTGTAATGTACCTTCATAACAAAAAAGTCCTTTTAAAAACATCTTAGTGTTTAGTAATCATATTAGTGTTTTTATTTGATTAAGTCAAAGAAAAGGGAACTAAGTAATTGTGTTGGCATTTTAGAAACTGAGAAGAAACAGAATATATGAAGGTAATTTTAGTTTGGTTAGTATGACCTCAAGATGTCACTTTTCTTTATATAAAAACTGAATAACTTCCTAGGCTGGTCAGTCGTGATAGCTCATATCTGTAAACCAAGCACTGGGGAGGTAGAAACAAGAGAATCCAGAGTTCAGGTTCAACCTGTAATACATGTGAGTTCCCAGCTAGCTTGGGCTGCAGAGGGAAACAAGACTATTTCCTGCCTTGTCCCCTGAGGCTTAGATGTGGTGGCCCACCTGTAGGTGTGAGCAGCCTCCCCAGAGCCAGTGCAAGGCAGGAGAGAAGTACCAGTTGAATGAGGACGTGAGGTCATACCAAGGCAAAGAGCCTGATCAAGAAAGCAAAAGCTCATTGAAGCCACTACAGCTGGTTGAAACAAAGCTAGGACACTGCACAAGCTCAAATCTAGAAAGCCTGAGTGCCAACAGAGTGTGTAATGACTGAGAAATGTCTCCTAATTGCCCTTAGATGCTAGGGAAATGACTTGTCACTGTTGCTGCTCCCAGGACTACTGAGATAGTGTTTTCCTTAGCCCAGGCTGGCCTAGAACTGCAGGGGAGGATGCCTTTGAACACAGTCCTCCCTGCCTCCACCTCCCAAGTGCTATGATCATAGGCATGTGTTACCATGCCCAATCCAACTTGTCATTTTTTAAACTGGCAAATAAGGGAAGGAGGTTGTGTTTTCTTTTGCTTCTCATATATGACTGTTGCCCAGAGTAATCAAATTGCTGGCAAAAGGCAGTTTCACTTTCAGTATCCTTGTTAAATGAAGATGACATGCCACCTCCATCCTGTCTCGAGAGTGGACATCTGCCTTTGAAAACTTCATGCAAACAAACCTGAGTCTGATTGCACACTTAGTTCTAACTGCTGACTTACAGGAAAGGGAACAGACAGCAGAAGATGCTAAATTACACCACGGGGAGTCATTCATTAAAACAGACCATGGGAAACAGCAGAACAGATGATTTGCCGTGTCTAGTGAATTGCCAAGGAAAAATGTGATAGAGGATAAATCTGTAAATTGAAAACATATTAACCAGCTGCAGTGTATGACTCATTTCTATTTGAATTCAACTAAGCATGGTTGAAAAGAACATTTATAGGGCATTTGAGGAACTGTGAACACATTATTTAGTGATATTAAGAGTTATTGTCTCTGTGTGTGAGACTTTTATTGTATCTTATTTTTAACATTTAAGATTATTTTTATGTGTGTGCACCTACATTTATGTATGTGCACCATGCACATGGTAGGTGCCCACAGAGATCTGAAGAAGATGTTACATTCCCTGGAAGTGGAATTACAGATGGTTGTGAACCACCATGTGACTGCTGGAAATAACCTGGGTCCTCTGGAAGAGCAGTTGATGCTTTTTGCCACTGAGCCATCTCTCCAGCTCTGTATCTTTTACTCTAAGGAAGTCATGTGTTGAAATGTTTGCAATAGAATGATGTCTATCTAAGCTTTCCAGTGCTCTGGGGAGGTGTGGTACATGGGGTTTTATAGAGGAAATGAGTCAGTATGAGCTGAGTGTTGCTGGGAGTTGGTGATGGCAAAGGGCATTATGTCTGTCTCTTTTAATTTTTGTATGGGTTTTAAGTTTTTTGTTATAGGAAAATGTAAAATATAAGAAACTGGCCACAGCTGTTTCATAAGCTTGCTCAGAACCCAACAAACCTTCTGCAGTGTAACCAATTTGTTATTTCTTACAATTAAGCTTAGCAACCTTCCTTTTTAGTTAACATTATTTTTAGTGTTAGTCTTACAGAACATTTTTAAAGATACTATAGTGTTCTCATGTATCCGTAGCCTGTTTTTCTCATTCCTGATGTCTTATTTTACCACATTTGTAGAAACTGAGAAACAACACTGACAAACTGGTATTAATGAAATACCAGAGTTTACTGTCCCTGCTTCTTCTTTACTTTGTGGCAGTTACTCAGTCTTCCCCGACCAGAATGGGCCTAAAGTACTGGCAAGGATTCTGTAGCATGCCTCCCCACCTGGGTTTATCTGATGTGTTTTTCATGATTAGACTGAGTTTATGGGCTTCAGCAAAGAGAAATAGCCTTGCATAACATTCCGTCCTGCTCCTGCCATCAGAGAGAATTCTCTGTGTGTGAGCCCTGCATTGCTTACCGAGGGAGCTCTTGCAGCTTCCTCCACTGTGGAATGAAGTGCTTTGCTTCCCTGTGCTGTACTTTAGAAGCAAGTCGCTCAGTCTCGCCCACACTCAAGTTGGATGGGGAAGGGGGTTAAGTTTTCCTTTTGATGGGATGCTGAGACCACCCTGGCTCCATGATTGATAGAGACTTACAGGGCCTAGCATGGGGCTGTGTGTGAGGCTTTGCTGTCACAGCTGAAGGGTCCCAAGCTTAGTGAGCAAGGGAGATGCGTGGGAAATGGTATGAGGGAAACCAGACAGAAGCTTCCAAGAGTCCTCACCCCAGGAGAGTATGACTCCTCAGCAACAACTATGACAATACTTGTAAACCATAAATGACCAAAGCTGCTTGAGTGAGGAGCCCAGTGTGGTCCTAGCTGCTTGAACAGACACCTGCCTAGCATGGGCCAAGTCTGAACATACCTAAGGAAGCAGATACTGGAATTAACCACATTCTTAGTAAAACACCTTAGGTTCACTGAACTACAGTTCCAACTTAGAAGTCAATTCATACACCAGTGTAGAGAGCTGCTTCCTGGGCAGATTTCCAGCCTTGAAGGCAACACAGGCCTTTGTAAGAGTAACAGGCCTTCACTGCTCATTTTCCTGCATGGTGAAGTGTCTGTATATCACTACTTTGACTGCCGTTGTTATTTTGAAGAGGAAAAAGGCAATCATAAAATCTTTAGCACGGCATAACAGAAGTGATATGACAGTAAGAATGATGGAATGAATATTAAAGTTAGAGCAGGGCTCTTTCTAATGAAATGTGTGGCCATGTAAGCTTTTTGGTTGTGTCTCTAATATTTCTCCTCTCTGTTTCTGTACACTACTATAAAAATATTACTCCTACTGCAATTTTTGAAACATTTCATAATAAAAATGCCTCCAGGTTTTAACCTCTTCTGCCAGAGAATTAAAAGAAGGCATGTGTGCTCCATAGCAATAATGTCAGGAGCTCATCCTGGGTGGAACTACAGGCAGCAACTGCTAAGACTTATGGTCCTGCTCATTTACTTTTTCTTAATAGGAAAAACGTGGCCTTCGAGAATTGCGAGTTCTTGAGAACTTGAAGAATATGATCCAGGAAACAAATGACCGCATGCTTCCCAAGTGCAGGGAGACAATGCAGGATGGCCTGGAGGGGGCCCTGCAGAGATGTAAGTCTAGCTGCTCTCCTCAGCCTCGATCTCACACGTTCCCATACGCATATGCAGGCATGTTCTCTTGAGTGATGTTGTGGAGAGGAAGAGTGTTCCTGACTGAGGCTGACCAGGGGCTAGCCCAGCCACAGACAGTGGTGGTCCAGTGTGGTCACGGATGTCATTGGGATTGATATCCAAAGTATGATGTGTGCACAAGCATTTCACAAAATGAGCTCGTTAGGATGGGAGAAAAATCATGTTTATGGTGTTAAAAAATTTGAAATTTTCTCTACAAGAAAATATATGGTGATCAGGAAATGAGTGCCTTTTTCAAATGGACTATGAGAGGTTTTGCTTGTTTCTATAAAAAAAAAAAACAAAAAAAAAAACAAAAACTCCATTATAAATGTTTATATTTTATCAGTTTTTGCATTAAGTAGAATATTTTAATGGGGAGAGGTAACTGACATATTTGTTAGCATTTTTTTAAAATATTAGACTTTAATAAAAAAGAAGCGTGTTGGTAAAGTCTGGTATTAAAACAAGGCTATCAGGACAGCAGGGTATCTCCTCAGATGTCTACACTAAGAACTTGTAGCTTGCCTACAGAGGAATAATGATTGATGGCTGAAGCAGGAGGTAGAACTAGCCTGTGAGGGAGGGGGATGAGTGAGGCTGTGAGGGAGGCGGGAGAGAGCTCTGAGGTAGCAGTGCAGTCTCATGAGGGTCATATGTACTATGAGGTTGAAAATCTCCCAGGATCCCATTTGATTTCTTCATGTGGAGCTGCAGAAAAATATAAATGAGTAGATAGATAAATACATAAATTGATATTAGGCTTTTGTATTATATTTATTTGTATATACTTATATAATACTGCTACATCCCTAACTGGCAAGCATTCTAGGTGTTTTGCTATAAGAAAAACCATAATTTTTAGTGTGTGTGTGTGTGTGTGTGTGTGTAAGTTCCCATGCACATGTGTGTATATGGAGGCCAGGGGTCAATTTAGGTGTCATTCCTTAATAGATGTCCACCTTGTTTCTTTTTTTGTTACTTTTTCTTTTTCTTTTCTTTTCTTTTTTTTTTTTTTTTTTTCTTTTCTTTTTTTGGTTTTTTGAGACAGGGTTTCTCAGTATTGCTTTGGAGCTGGAACTAGCTCTATAGATCAGGCTGGCCTCGAACTCACAGAGATCTGCCTGCCTCGGCCTCCCGAGTGCTGGGATGAAAGGCGTGCACCACCACCACCAGGCTCCATCTTGTTTCTTGAGAGAGAGCCTCTCATTAGAACCTGGGGCTCTCTGAGTAAGCTAGGTTGGCTGGCCAGCCATTCAGCCCCAGAGATCCTTCTGTGCCTGCCTCCCAGTGCTGGGATTACAGGTGTGCACCACTGTACCTAGCCTTTTTATGTGGTGCTAAGGATCAACTCAGTTCTTCATGCTTGCATGCACTTTACCAACTGAGCCCTTCCCTAACCCCTGATGCCTAGATAGGAATTGAGACGAACTCTGACACTGGAAAGGTTACTGAAGCTGTTGAATGAGACACAATGAGAAATGATGAGCAGCTGTGTGACTGGTTTCCTCTCCAGACTGAAGTTATTATGCTCTCAGGCCTTCCTAGTGATGTTGGAAGGTATTACCAGTAATTGAGAATCTGAACCAGAAGTAGGTTTCTTTGGATGGAAGAATTACATTCTAGTGACTGGGGATCTGGCCTCTGGAGTGCTCTGAAGCATATTGCTGGTGTGAGGAACTTAGCCGTGGCCTTGGAAGCTGTTCCCCTGCTAACCAAGGAGAAGGTGCTGCAGAAGGGCTCCAGCTTGAGGGTTTTCTTGTGCCTAATTTGCTAAGTCTCGTGGCTCTAATGGAAATAGTGATGGGCGTGAGTCCAGCTGTCATTCCTAGCAGAGTTCATTTTGTAAAGCTCGACATTTTAAACCCGTGTTATCATGTTTGTTTTCATTTGTGCGAAATCATTAAAACGAGCTTCAACATGGAGTCTTCTCTCATCCAAGCAGAGCATCAGGAGTGACAAGTTATATACTTCTGTGTCTGTAGAACCACCTTTATCTCCTAGAATTCATGTTTGAGAACCCTGTAGATGCAGACCTTGCCCACTTGGGCAGAGTGTCCTAGGGCTGGCTTTCAGGCCAAACTCTTATCTGCAGCTCATCAGAGACCACAAAAACAAACAAGATTCTCTCGAGGCACAAGAAGGCACCCCCCAAGGGAAGAGCATCATAGCTGTCCTGTTCTGTAGACACAAGTGTCTGTGTCTTGCTTATCAGTTACTTAATAAGCTTCTAAATTTCTTCAGGCTTGAGTGTCAAGGAGATCTTCCCTTGGTTTTCAAATAAGAACAGGGAGCTTCCAGGTTATCCACTCCTAGCCACATGATGCGGCCACACTAAGGGAATGTTCCCTCATCCATCTCCTCTTCTGAAGCACGGCAACTTTGTTATTTATAAGCAAAAGGGTATTATTAATAAGACAAAAAGAAAACCAAGTGTGGTGGCTTCCAGTGCTAACCTTAGCATTTGGAGGTCGAGGCAAACAGGAGTACCAGAAGTTTGAAGGAAGCTGGGGTACATAGTGAGTTACAGCCCAGCCCAATCTAAAAGCCAGACTCTGTTTCACCACATCCCTCTCCCTGCCCTCCCAGAGAAGTGCACACCAGTTGATTATCCAATACTAAATGGTCAGCCCTGAAAACATACTTATAAGCAACATTATACAGATTGTGTAGATTATATTTAGGAATATGTATGTGTATACATAGATGCTGTAATATTAATAGACAGAGAGGCTATGGATTTGAAAGAGAACAAAGAGGGGTCTATGGGGAGGCTTTTGAAGGAGGAAAGGGGAAGGGGGGATGATGTAATTATAATCTAGGGGAGGGGCTGTGACAGAGGATGGTAAACGTGGCATGGTCCTACAACTTTTCTTTTAAATTGCACTCAGAGTGACCTAGACATGCAAAGAAGACAGGAAAACGGATTTTTAAGCTATGTTCATAGAGATAGGAAGGAAAAAAGATAAATAGGAAATGATAGTACCACACTTAGGAATGATGATGTCATACTTATTGCCACAGGAAGAAGGCAGATCAAATCAATCATTGTTTTCATATTTTTTGTTAAGGGGAAAAAAAAAACAAGCTGGGAAGTTAGTTGTCATTTGGTAGATATCATCTGTGATCCAGCAAAGTTTGTTAATAGTCGCCAGTGACGAAGCTTTTGAAAATGAGATACATCCTCTGGCTACATCTGGGAGGTGGAGGTTCACAGTTTTCTGAAAGAGAAACCATAGCCCCTTGTGACCTGTTCAGGTCAGCCCTAGCCAGGGTAAGGAAGACAGAAAATTAGATGGTTTCCAGCTTCAGCAGCTATAAGAGATGGTGGCACAGCAGAGCCTCTGCTGAAGGAATTTCATAACTAAAAACATTTACATTGAAAGAGAGCACATTTTGTGAGGGCAGCAGAGTGAGTAGGTTGTTCAGCATACCATCACTTGATGCTACTTGTGTGTGAAGAGCTTCTCTTTTGTTCTTGTTTTTGCTTTGGAGACAGGCTAAGGCTGGTTTGGAACTCACTCTGTAGACCCTACTGTCCTATAGTTCTCTCATTAAATCTGGCGTTTTAGCTAGATTGTTTCTGCCCCCAATACTGGGCTTGTAGATACAGCAGCTGGAAATCCAAACTTAGGTCTTCACACTCATGCAGCCATCTCCCCAGCCCTGTATCATGATTCTCATTAATACTTAATATCTTATCAGGCATTCTCACTATGCTTTCTCATGAATGGTCATATCTATACTCATTTGTAAAATGAGGAATGATTCCCAGACAGAAACTTGCAGGAAAATGTTCCAGGTCAGTAGCAAGTGCAAAAGCCCTGTGGTGGGAATGTGCTTGGCACATTGGAAAAGAGCAAGGAGGTTGGTGTGGCCAGAACAAATATTTGGATGTAAAGGCAGGGCTTGTAAGCTGAGGAGCTAAAGGGGAAGGCATTCAGCAAGAGCAGAGCATGACATGGAGCAGGCTCTGCAAACATGTCAGGCTTCGGATAAGCAAGAAGGCAGAAGGCCAGTCACAACTAGCCTGAGGCTGGCTGTTACCCTACAGACTAATTGCTGTTGTTAGTGTGGAAGCAAAGTTCAGGTAGATTCGAGGAACGTGGGATTCCTATCAGGCTGGGGGTGGTTGTGTGCAATACTTTGACCGGAGTTCTTTCCTGAGACCCATCCCATGAGGTCTGGTGTGGAAGTTTCCACCTGTGCCATCACACCAGCACCTTGGAAGTTTTAGGTATTAAAGCATCTTGAATTTGGGCATGCTCACCCTGTGTTAGAATTTTGGTCCCTTAGAAGTGCAAATGATTTATGAATTTTCAAGCTGAGGAGAAGTAATGTGGTAGCAGCATCCAGGATGAGTTAGAAGACAGGAGAAGAGGCAGGAAGAGTGGGTAGAAGGCTGTGGAGTCCATCTCGATGTCAAGCCTTGCCTGTGAGAGAACAGCAGCATAAATCAGAAAAAGGGAGGAGCTGAGGGGCCCAAACTGTAAAGGCTTGATTGATCTGAATTATCTTTCTGGAGAATATTGAGGTGGCTGTTGCCAACTTGTCATGGGCTTAGTATTTCTTAGTATTTCTATGCCCTTTGGAATTATAACAAAACCCCCAGGTTTTTTTTTTTCAGCTATATCACCCTGACTATATTGACAAAATGTACTTTTCCTGTAAGCCACCCCCTCCGACTGGCAGCTAGTATCTATTTTTAATGTAGTCTATTGAGATCTAAAGAATCCACATAGGTTTCTTCCTGACCAGAGGCTGCCATTGAATCTCTACTGTCTGTTTTATTTCAGTGCAAGCAGCTAACGACTCTATCTGCAGACTCCAACAGAGAGAACAGGAACGGAAAAAGGTAAAAGTAGGTCATGAGCAAGGGGGCATATAATTCTTCACACCTATTATTATAATATTAGCATTTCCTTTTAATCCAAAAGTTCTCTGAGTTTGTTCTCTGACTTTTCTGACGGGCTGACTTTAAAAGACTTAAGGATGGGGCTGGAGAGATGATGGCTCAGCAGTTAAGAGCACTGGCTGTTCTTCTACCACACCCAGGTTCGATCCCCAGCATCCACATGGTGGCTCACAGTTATCTGTAACTCCAGTCCCAGGGACCCAGTGCCCTTTTATGGCCTCCTTGGGCACTACATTCACATGATACATAAGTGTGCATAGTTAAACATTCACACACACGATAAATGTACAGGAAAAACATTTAAAGGTGATTGAAACATTAAGATTGTTAAAAACATGGTACCATCATTTTTTTTTAACTGTTTATTTGTGTGTGTCATGGGGGCATGCAAGTGTGCTTGTGGGCATTTGTGCTTCTGTAGGCCAGAGATGGACACCCCGTGTCTTCCTCAATCCCCTGTACCTCACTTTTGGAGACAGGGCCTCCTGTCTGTGACTGCCCTCAGCCACCATCACTGGTTACAGTTGCCATTCCCATCATTCACCTGGATGCTGGGGATGTAGGTCCCCATTCTTTCAAAGTAACGGAACTGTCTCCCAACCCCCATCCATTTTTTATAATTTGAATATAGACTTTTTCAACATTTCCATATTTTCTCTGAAAGTAATATGTGTCTCACACAGGAAAGAGAAAATAGGACTTTTGTATGACGTGAAAAGTGCCCACCTGTTGGGAAACACAAACCTTGCCTATGAGCCTGAAGCATATTCATTGAGGCATTTTGCATATTCCTTTAAATGGCAGGTGCTCAGTGGAAGGTCACAGAGGTGTGCAGCCTTAGCTAGGCAGTGCTCTGCTTAACTTGAACTGTATCATAACTCAAATGTGGAAAGTCAGTGAGATAATTTGGTGTTTTTACCTGGAAACCTTTTAGTGTTTCTGTAATTTATTCATTGATCTAAATTAATAAAAATATACCTCACATTTACTAGTACAGATGTTGAAACTACTAGTCATTCTGAAAGCATTGTCCTTTTGTGTGTTTTCATTAAATGAGGTCTGCCACTGTATAACTAGATAATGGAAGGCTTCTAGAGATGTGATTTTACATCCTTTATCCTGTCCTGGATGTCGATAGAGTTTGGAAGCTCAACAATTTGATGACATAAACCTTACTGAAAGGATCTGGTATTTGAGTCAGATGGGTAGGCTACCCTGGGGTTCCAGGGTTCAGCTCTGGAAGCAGGACTTTGCTGACTACAGAGGAAATACCAAGGCAGAGTTATGGTTAGGAGACCCATGTTGGGTAGAATGCCAGTACAGTCCTGAGTGAATGGAAGGCAGGGACTGGAATGGACATGTCCGGCTGGGCAGCAGATACATTTTAATCTTGTGCTTTACCAGCTGCCACTGGGTAGTTAGGGGACAGATAAAACTTCATTTGTTATGATTAAAGCAGTTTCTAGACCCAGGAGCTAAAATCTGGGAATCCTAAACTACAAGTACTAATAGAAAATAGGTCAAAGTCTGCAGTATAGTCAAGTTACAAACCTTGGGTGATCTTAGCCAAAGGAATGATGGGGAAGGTGTGGCATCCTCATCAGTTCTGACTGGTAAGTAAGAATTCAGTTGCTGGTGGGTAGAGGATGGCTGTTAGAGGGTTAGGAAAATAACATAAGCTAAGACAAAAGGTAGGAGAGACTAGTGTGCAGCCTATTTGGACGTCCAAATAACAGCTCTGGGTGAGTGTGGAGCATCCTGAATCCTGTATTGCACACTTTGTTCCTGGGACACAAGGAATGCCTCTGTTTGTGAGGCACAGAGTATCTGGTAGAATACTGGCTGTATAACTTTTGTTGTTTCATTTTGAGACAGAATCTGATGTAGCCCAAGCTGGCCTTATATTTCTTATGTATCAAAGGATTGTCTTCAACTCCTGATCTTCTGCCTCTAGTTCCCACAGTCTGTGACTTAGACTCTGCATTGTGCCTGGCTTTAAAATGAGTGTTTTTGAGTATACTGAAATGCTGTTCACCAAGAATTAGTATCGTGACAGGGGACCTGACTTTGTAGAGAGCTACTCTGAGTTTTCCCCTGCAGATAATAAATTAACAATCTTGAAGTTATGAAAGAGGTGCATTTAAAGACTAGAAGCAATTGAAAATTCCTTACATTCCCAGTGGGATAAACCGTTAGCCTACGTCCTAATGTTTTATACTTATCTAATTATCAGAGCAGTGGAAGTTTATGGCTATAGGTCCTTAAAATTGTTTGATTTTACTACCACCCCACTTCCTCCTGAAAGCTTGACATGGCCGGGGTTTTAGTAGATGTGCACGCTCGTGTCTGTGTGTGTGCACACCCCCACACACACTTGTCATAAAGATAAAGCTTAGTTCCTTGGACAGCAAGTATGCACAAATGAAAAATGACCTCTGTTTGCACTTACTGCCTAATGTTAGCTGTTGCCTTGGGTTATCCTGTTGGCCACATTTTGCATATTTGAAAGGCTCTCAGAACAAAGAAAGATGGGAGTAGTAATGGAATAAAGTAGGCTGTTACTATTAATCAGTAATTCTTTTATGTTAAGACAATTTGTGGAATTCTGTGGGAAGTAAATTGATAAGCGTCATTTGTCCAAATCACATTTCCCACAATTGATATCTAAAAGGACATTCAAAAGAACAATATATGCACATTCTGCATTTGTTTGACATCTCTTAAGAACTACCCTAACAACAAGATCTCCCAAGCAAATAGGGAGCATGGGAGGAGGGGAGAGGAGTTAGGAGAAAGAGAAGGGGAGAAAAAGAGGGGAGAGGAGGGCATGAGGGAGCAGGAAAATTGAGTCAGGGAAAGACTAGAGGAGAACAAGAAAAGAGATACCATAATAGAGGGAGCCATTATACCCTTTATAGAGAAATCTGGCACTAGGGAAATATCTAGAGATCTACAAGGATGACCCCACCTAACAATCTAAGCATTAGTAGAGAGGCTACCTTATATACCCTTCCCAGATAATGAGATTGATGACTACTTTATGCCATCCTAGAGCCTTCATCCAGTAGCTGATGGAAGCAGAAGCAGACACCCACAGCTAAACACTGAGCTGAACTCCTAGAATGCAGTTGCAGAGATGGAGGAGTGATGGACAGAGGGGTCAAAACCAGGCTGGAGAAACCCAAATAAACAGCTGACCTGAACAAGGGGGAGCTCATGGACCCCAGACTGATAGCAGGGAACCCAGACCCCTTGATTATGGTTGTTAGTTGGGAGGGCAGGACCGGGCAGTCTATGGGGCCCCTGTTAGTGGATCAGTATTTATCCCTACTATACGAATGGACTGTGGGAGCCCGTTCTACACAGAGGGATACTCCCTCAGCTTAGACACATGGGGGAGGGCCTGAGCCCTGCTCCAAATGATATAACAGACTTTGAAGAGCTCCCATGGAAGGCCTCACCCTCCCTGGGGAGCAGAAACAGGATGGGGTAGGTGTTGGTGGGGGTGGTGGGGGGGGAGAAGGGAGGGTGTGGGAACTAGGACTGACATGTAAAACAAGCTTGTTTCAAATTTAAATTAAAAAATATTATCAAAAATTCAAATAAAAAAGAACTACTTTAACACAGAGTTGTGTTCTGGGCTCTAACAGAATAGTGAACTGAAATACAGTTGGCTCATGAAGTCCTTGCTCTTAAAAACAGCCCATAGAGGGGTGAGTTGGCCAGGAATGACTGTCAGAATGTAAAGTTGTTCCAGATATATACATCCACTTTGGCAGCCCTGTCCAGCCACCTGGTGACAAGGAGTCAACTATGAAGGCTTCTGTTCATCTTGACCAGACACTTGCTAACTTTAGCAGCTTCCTTTATGATGTTGTCAGGAGAGCAGTGGCATTACAAACTCTTGACAGTTTGAAAATAACCATTCTTCTTGACAGAATTAGAAAGTACACAGTAACAAGAATACATATACTCTATGCAAAATAGTTTTAATAGTTTTTATAGTGATACGTCTTACTGAAGTCATTTCCCTTGTGCCCATTTAAACTCGTGTAAAATCAACATCATGTGTATTACTCAACAGATGTTCCGAACCTCCTGATGTAGGCTCTCACCAGAACCCCTCAGGCTGGCCCTTGCCTCCAGGTGCTAAGATAATAGACATTACCTGCCATGTTGGCTCCCAAAAGACTTACTCTCGGTTGGCCTGTTCAGAATTTCCCATAGTGGGCTTGGTGTTGCTGGCACTGTAGACTGGATGTGTAATGGGGTCCCATAGGGCTTTTCTTGATAGTGGCCTCTGCCTGCAAGTTGCCATAGCATCTCTCTCTCATCCTGTGTTCCCATGCCAAACATCTCTTTTGTTGTTCTGTTTGGGGGGGGTTGTTTTTTGTTTTGTTTTGGGTTTTTTGTTTTTTTTTTTTTTGTTTGTTTGTTTTGTTTTGTTTTTTGAGACAGGATTTCCCTGTATAGCTTTGGAGCCTGTCCTGGAACTTGCTCTGTAGACCAGGCTGACCTCCAACTCACAGAGCTCTGCCTGTCTGCCTCCCAAGTGCTGGGATGAAAGGCATGCGCCACCAACACCTGGTTGCCAAACATCTCTTAAAGATGAAGAAAACTACTGACTTAGAGTAATACATGCAAAAATGTTTTTCTGTGTGTACAGGCTTCATTCATATACTTGATTCTACATATAGATTAGTTTCAGGATCATTTTCTACTTAAATGTCTCTAATATGATACTACCGTAAGTACCATAAGTACTACTCTTACTTTCTCTGATGTAACCTAATTTGCTCATTTTACCAAGTAGATAGAGATATTATCACTATAACAATTGTTTTTGGATGCAGAGTTATAGCCCATTAACTAATTTTCAGAGCCATGAAACTCAGTACTTGTTAACACTAATGCATCCAGCATTCTACTTTCTGTCTGTA